GAAGGAAGGAAGGAAGGAAGGAAGGAAGGAAGGAAGGAAGGAAGGAAAGAAAAAACCCACCACCTCTTAGGATCATATCCAGCCTCTCTTGGATGGACAGAACGGGCTTCTCCCCACTGATGGGTCTGTCTTTGCAGTGACTTGAGCAATGGTGCAGATGGGATGCTGGCCACAAGCTCCAATGGGTCTCAGTACAGCGGCTCCAGGGTAGAGACCCCGGTTTCTTACGTCGGGGAGGATGATGATGACGACGATGACTTTAATGAGAACGACGAGGAGGATTGATTACGCAGCCTGTGGACCCTTCAAATTCAGCTTCAGGAAAAAATTACTAGAGAAGAAAACTTAAAGTGGGACTTTTTGTTCTTTTTGGCCTGCTTCCAAGAAGATATCCATGAGTTGTTGGGTTAGCTGTGCACCTCCAGTAAGGACCGTGCCTGCCATGGTGTGAGCTGCGTTGCAGATGTTTTGAAGCCAGCGTGCTGATGCAGAGCCCGTATTTACTTTTAGGATTTTGTGTTTTTGCGCTTTCTCTTTCTCTTTCTTATTTTGTTTGAAGTTTATTTTGCCCCTCAACAGTTGTTGCTGGGTTTGCTGAGGAAACTGCACTGCACCCACACCAGTGACAATAATAAATGCTGCCCTGCCTGGGCTTCCAGCACCCAGGTGGTGGACGGCCAGGCTTCAGGATGAATTTTCCTTCCATTTGTTAAATCATGCGGTGTCCAAAGAACCAAGCCAATAGCAAAGCTCTAGTTTTTAAACATTAAGCGCCATACATCTTATTATGACTTTATTTTTCCTTAAATTATATTATTGACTGTTGTAATTCCATCAAGTTTGTACACTTTTTTTTCTATTGCAACAACAAATTGCAAAGTAGTTTTTCTTGTTTGTTTGTTTTTGTTTTGTTTGGAAGAAGTTTACTGCCACGCTGGTGCAGCTATGGAAATTGTCTAGAAAGTTTGCTTATGGTAAATTTGCCTGATTTCTTACAGGCTACGTTTGGAAACTTTTTATTATATAGTTGTTTACATACTTATAAGTCTATCATTTAAAGACGTGTACTGAAACAAATGTTGTATTTGTTTCATGAGCATCTTCCTGTAATCTATTATAAAGTTGAAATTAAACATAGAGAATGTTTTAACAGTTTTTTAACTCAAAATTTGTCAATCATTTTTAATAGTTCTTTTTTTATAAAAAGAAAAAGGAATTTAAGGACAGGCAATAGTCTCTTAAAATTTATTCACAAAAACTCGTTAACTGCACAGTTGCTCTTAGCTGCCTGTTCTAAAATGATAGTCTTTTTATTGAAACACAAATAAACTTTTCTGTAATATTTTATGGAATATAAAGAGACTTTAATTGTTTGACTTGTTTAACTCGGCACTGTTAGTTTTATTAATAAAACGTGCATGGGCATTTTAAACAGGCTCTGTGTTTGTGTGACTCAGGACTGTACTCTAAAATTACTCTGGACTGTTGTAAGTGGATGGCTTGGATACCAGCTCAGCAGTAGCGTCCTGCTATGTCTCATGGCCTCACAGTCTCTCCCATGTCAGGCATGGCTGGGTCAGAAGTAGGAAAGGAGATAAAGTGGGAATTGGGTCATGAGTACCTTCTCTGGGTGCCCAAGTATAGAGGTTCAGTCTTTGACCTTTTTTTCTATCCTGAAAGGGCACACTTTGTAAGTTTGACTTTCAAAAAACTCTAAGACTGTGAGCATTCTGGAGAGGAGCAGTCTCTTCATGCCTAGACACATGCACTGGTAGAATCTGCCAGGCACAACTACTTCGGGACTATTTGAAATAGTTACAGACAAGAGGTTCTTGACACTGGAGCTTCACTGTGGCTTCAAACTCTCCTAACCTTTGGCTGACTAGATTTAAAAATTGGTACCTTTTTTTCCACCCCTCCCCTCCATTTTTCTTTTCTCCTTTAGGATTCCAGACACTGAAGACTCAGACATTAAAAAGCAACCTTCTGTTTGGGAAGTTGACTGGGCATGCCCAGGGAAAGAGGTACAGAGTTGACTTGAAAAGGCCTGTGGGTGGCATTTCTGGCTGATCCACCCCGAATGCAGATAACCCACAACTGAGAGTTTAGAGCAGCAAACGTTGGAAATAGAATTCACTTTCTGGACATTGTGAACAAATTTAATTGTCTTGTCTTCAGCAGAAAGAGGACACGAGGAAAATGAAAATGATGTTGCACTTCCAGGAAGCGGTAGATCAGACACTGTACCTGAGAGTGGCAATAAATACCCTGTACAGCACTAAGCATCGTCTCAGAGCTGCTCAAAGAACTGAGAAGATGAGAGCCAGGAAAGTGACTCGAGAGCAATGGAAGAGCAATAAAGAGAGAAGCTAGAAAGAAATCCTGGGCAGAAATGGACTGGAATAATTCACTAGGTAGCATCAGAAGTAGAATTGGCAAACTTGATGATTCCCAAGTCTGAGGGAACAGGAGAAAAAAATGTTAAAGACAGAAGGAACACAGCTCTGGCAGGCAGAGAATATGTGAAGAACTGTATGTGACTAAACTCTTTAAGCCGGAAAGGCCACCTGATGAAGCATCCAAGAAACATGTTCCAAGTAAACTGAGGCTGTGTTCTCACGGGACGCATTTTCCAGAAGGTAATGTTGAAAGCACTGTGGCAATTTGGCCTGCATACGCTCACAGGGAGTGGCAGTGTTAGGAGATGTGACTTGGTTAGCTTTGAGGTTTCCTATGCTCACTGCCCACTGTCTCAGACCATTCCTTGTTGCCTGCAGGATGGAGGACTCTCCGCAACTTTCCCAGCACCATGTCTGCCTGCACACCTCCATGATGATAATGGACTAAATCTCTGAAACTAAGCTACCCCAAGGAAATGTTTTCCTTATGAGTTGCCGTGATCATGGTGTCTCTTCACAGCAATAGAAACCCTAACTAAGGCGAGCAACTAGAGGAGACTCACTCGTCACGTGTGCATTCCTCGGGAACATCCAGAGATTTCCATCTGTGAGGCTGCCAGGCAGTAGGCTGATAGGATGAGAATGCTGGAAAGAGCAAAAGAACATTCATCATGAGTCCTGTCAGCCCCTGAAGCACTTGCTGTGTAAGCCTGGCAACCTGAGATCAGTCTCTGGAATCCATGTAGAGAACATGAGTCGTCCTCTGACCACATGTGCTCCATCACATGCACATAAACAATAATATGATTTTCAGTTTCATGTCCTGTCACTGGACAGACTATAGAGTAAGACCCTGCTTCAACTTGGACTCTCTTCCCAAAGAGTCCCCTACCTCCCCCAGACGGTTTCTCTGTATTTTGGAGCTTGTCCTGAAACTTCCTCAGAAGAACAGGCCTCGAACTCACAGAGATCTGCCTGTCTCTGCCTCCCAAGTGGTGAGATTAAAGGTGTGCCACCACCACTGGACAAGAATTTCCTTCCTTCCTTCCTTCCTTCCTTCCTTCCTTCCTTCCTTCCTTC